GAAGAAGAACCAATTCAAATACAACCATTTGTTACTTTACAAAATGGAAGCAGAGTTACTCCTCGTCAACTTGAGTTTATTACTGAGATAAAAGGTAGTAGATTTGTTGGAGTTAAAAAACCAGGAAGAGGTATTTTAATTTTAAAAGATACCCAACCTCAAATGGAAGAAGAAAACTCAGGAATTATTAAAGACCAAGGAATTCAAATGACAGATGAACATAAAGCACTTGCTGATGCCTTATTATCCAATAACAATGAACCAAAACCACCAGAACCATTTGAATGGAACTTTTAATTAAAATAAAGTTATTTTGGTGTTTTTTTTATATTATCATTTTAATTCGTTTTAAACTTAATGAAAAATAGTCTTTTGATGTTAACTAAGAATATTTAATCAAATGAAGAAGAAATTCTATTATTATTATATTCTCACAATATCGTTTGTTGATTTAATTGACTTATTGAAGTAATAAAGTAATATTTAATATTTATATTACAATTTCTGATATATTTATCTTATTAAATAAATAGATAATTCTTTCTTATTTATTATATTATTATATTTTTATTTTATTCATTTATTATTTTTATGTTTATTGTTTATATATTATAATAGCACAGTATTGTATAATGAAACTATTATTAGTGAATTAATATAAATGATGTTTTGAACATTGTTTTTGTTTTAATTTTTATTATTCTTTCTTCTTTATTTCATTTTTATCTTATCAATCGTGGTTATTATCTGTTTATGAAATAAATTTAATTTTAGAACGATGCACTCTACTTGGTTATAACAAATTCTTTATATTCCTTCATACTATGCTATTTATCTTTGTCTTATTCAAATCCAATTTATTATGAAATAAATATATATCAATACGATTTCTTCATAATACACTAGTTAAAGTTCATACTAATACTCATTTTATGTTATTATTATCACTTCATTTCATTTATTTTAATCTTTGTTCATTCATTATTCATTTATTTATCAATAACTTATTTTTATCATTAATTTATTTGAAACAAATCTTTCTTCTTATTATTAAAACAAAACAAAAATAACTTAATATCAGAAAGTTAGGCAAAAACTGGAATAAATATCTGTCTTGATTCTGTTGCACTACATCTTGAAGCTGTGATTTGGTACCCATTGGTAAGTGTCTTGAGGTGTTGATTTCCAGTCCATACAGATCTACCATCAGATGCTTTTTTGGCTTGATAACAAAGGTCAAGATCAAGTCGATAAGGAAGATAGAAATGTCTTTTATATGTAGGCCATTCAAGAGTTTTTTTAACCCATCTTCCACCCTGATTGTATTCAATAGTTGAATGATATTCAGCATACCATTCATTTGGATATGGATGGACATAAACAAAACGTTGATTTTGAGTACCTGGTGCGTCTGATAATGGTGGATTTTTGGACCAAATAATAAGAGTTGATCCTTCATTTGCTCCTCCTCTAATATCATGTACTCTTTTTGGCATTGAATAGCATGTATACATTCTATATGGTGCAAATTCAAAGAATTGAAGTTCATTTCCTTGTTTCAATGGTCTTAATAGAATGTTTTGTTCATAATTTCCATTAGGGTATATAACTGA